AGAACTAGATAAAGGCCTGAAAAGAGAAGGCATCTCTTGGGTGCTGGTGTCCAGACTGCTTTCAAAAGCAGTGATGAAATTTCCCAGCTCAAAACTCAAGTTGAAAGGAATTCCATTCTGGAAAAGAATGGTCCTGTTATAACTGAGAGTCTAATCCTATAGAGGTCGTGGAAGGTCAAACAAAAACAGATCTGGGATGTTCTATTATGTTTATTATTATTATAATCATTATTATTATTATTATTACTATTATTATTTTCCTTGCAAAGTGTATGAGCAGATGCACTAGTGATTTGAGGATTGATAAAAAACTGGTGAGGTAGAGAGGGAGAAGAGAAGGCTCTTGTGTCTGTGCTGGTGAGACAGCACAAAGTGTGGGGGGAAAGACACACTTGAAAAAAGTGAAAGCTAGGGAGCCAAAGCTCCTATGGTGTTATTCTCTGTTGCAAATCTCTGGAGATTATTTTAAATAAAATATTAATTTAAATTTGCATCATGCAGTGCAGGAGAACTGCAGGGAGGGTAGACGGTTTGTGTGTTGGAATTTATCCATGTGTTCTGCATGGCCATGGGTGTTATGAGAAGCAGAAGAGAGGATTTAGAAAGGTATTTTTCTTGCAGAAAGGTAGGAGAAGAGAATAAAGTCTTGAACTTGGATTCAGATGTTTAAAGTGAAGATGAGCTGAGGCTAAAACCAGTCCCTCCTTTCTACTAACTTCAAGAGAAACAAGCTAGCGTAGAACAGTAAGCTTTTAGCTTGGATATTTTTTTCCCAAGAGTTTAGTAGATTAAAAGGGATAACAATATTCTTGTGTATTCATGTAGCATTTTCTCACACATTCTTGTCTCTCATAGCTAATTCAAGGCCTTGCGGGGTTTTGTTTTTTAATGATTAGTGAATGAAGGTCTCAACTGTATGTTTCTTTCAAACATCTACTCATGGATAAAGCTGTGTTTCTCTAGGACGAGTACTCTTTGCGCTGCTTCTTTGCACTTTCTTTCTGTCTTAAAGTTCCTGTTCAGACAGCATGTCTGTGTGTGTTCACTTTGCCTGTCCTCTTTGCACAAGAATAGAGGATCAGCTCTGGTAGCTGCCTGTGAAAGCACCCTGTGCACACCTGCATTGCTGGACTTTGTCAGCTGCTCTCGGTGCTCAGCTTATAGTAACCAGGAGCAACTTCTAATATATGCAGCCTTCATGGATATGGAAAACGTCACCGTCTGAGATGCTTCTAGTGTATGTGTTGCCCTGGGGCACAGAAGTGCCAGGAGGGCCGTGCTCCAGCGCTGCCTCCAGGCAGTCCCTGTGCCCAGGGAAGCTTGTTTGTAGTGTGGGCAGAGCTGGGTGCTTTGGCGGTGGAGCGGGGCGGGCGGGCGAGCTGCAGCTGCTCTATAAATAGCTCCCCCAGGCTAGGATGTGGGAAGGAAAGATCGCGTTGCTATGGCAGTTGATCTGAATCAGATTACCTGCTGCTCTGTGCATACGGCTGGGCACGTGTGGTGGCTGCATGGGCTTGCATGTGCTGGGGCCACTTTGGCCAAGGATCTGCCGGAAGGAGGGGAAGAGACGGGAGCAAATGCAGGACCAGTTTGTGACAAGACCAATAAAATCAATTCCCATAGCAACCAAGAACGTGAATCAGCCTAGCTTCAGTCCCGTGATGCTGTAGGAGGGTTTCTGTCTGTGTTGCATGATCCTTTTGTTTGTGAGCTAATTCTGGTCGTGTGAACTCTATACATTAGCGCCCTCATGTAAGCTACCTCCATTTTGCTTTGGAAAACTGATATGATTGCCAAAGATGTTTGATTTTGACAGTACTGTCTTCAGAAGGCAAAAAGATTGTTTTTTCTTGTATAAAGAAAGGAAGAAATCCTTGGGACTTTTCTAAATTTCAAAAGGATCTCTGAAGACTGCTTTATTTTCTGATTTTCTTTAGGCTAGTCTGTCATAAGAAAGGAAGAAATCCTTGGGGCTTTTCTAAATTTCAGAAGGATCTCTGAAGACTGCTTCTGATTTTCTTTAGGCTAGTCTGTCATTTCTCTTAAGCGATATGGATGCATGGAAGCTGCAGATCATTGGGCTGTATCTGCTGCCATATCTATGGGGAACTTGTCCTGCCTCAGTGCTGCAGGTGCTCTAAGCAGGATGCTGCTAGAGTCTGCCCGTGCTGCTGCCCCCTGCTTGACTCTCTTGTGTTTGGAACCCTGCCTAGGCATTTCACAGAACCACACCTGCATTACAGACTAACTGTACTAAATAAATATGCCATTGTCTTTCCTGGGCATGCTTGCAGTACTTTGAAACTATCTCTTTCCCACTCGTGCCAAAGTGCTAATATCTTTTTAGGAGTCACGGCACTGGCATGCAGTACTGTCTTGCCAAGTTAGATGGTAAGATACAAATAAAGCAGCTGCACCTGCATAGCCAGTCTGTCCAGCTCTGACTTCAGAAATTGTTCCATCATCTGTCAAGCCTTTCTATCACGCTCTGGAGGGGTGGGATATTCTAAACTCACGTGTGCTGTCATGTTCCTGGCATTAGAAGAAACATCAAAGTATAGTATAAGAACCACAGTACAGTTAAGGAAGAAACAGTGCAGCAGGATTCCTAGGATGTTGCATACTTCTGAGTTAAAACCAATGAAAGTGTTTGATGTTAACATAGCTGTTAGGCAGAAAGTGTAAAATCACTTGTGTGATTTGGGAGCTGCTTGTCTGCTTCTTTCAAAAAAACTTAGTACAAACAAAAAAGCTTAGTACAAACAGAAATAGCGTGGGCTAAACCACTGTTACAAAGTGCACAGAATCACTGGAACAAGCTCGGAAGTAGAAGTGTTGAAAACTTCAGCAGTAATGTTCCCTTAAAGATTAATGTCTAAAAATGGCTCAAAACTAGTATGAATAGTTCATGTTGTGCTTCACATGCTGTTGATGCCAGTTCCACAGTGAGTTAATGAGGTTCACACAAGTGAGTTTGGCTGGTTCTGAGGCACTTGTAACTATGGTCAATAGCCTGGCAAATACCTGCCTTGGTACACTCCACGTGTGTAATGTGAGAAAGGAAGTGTAAGTGACGGCAAAGGGAGCACGGAAACTCCTGGCCCTGCTTGGGTATCTTTCAGCTCTCAGTGTGCTCTGAAGGGTATGAAGTATCCTCAGTAAGCAAGGTGCTAAGGACGGGCATATTGGCTACAGGTCTGAATTGAGAACGGGCTGTCTTCTTGATTTGTATAAATAGAAACTCAAGATGTTCCAGTGATATTTTAAAAGTGGAAATTTATTTCTCGTTAGTCATGGTTGAAATTCTGATCTTCTGAAAGATAAAATTTCAGTGAACCAGAATTGATATGGGTGCTAGCCAGTAATTCTTGGTGTCTCCTTCAGTTTCCTCTGTTTCTTTTATGACAGATTGAGGTCCCACCATATGCATGCTCTTCAGTCATTCAGTTATTGAATTGACTCTAGTTTATAATTTGAAGTGTCCGTATGCTGATGAACATGTAAAACAATCCTTGTATCAGATAAAAGCCAGAGATAATCGAAGGAGAGATCTGCTTTTGGTTACCAAATTAATCTAGTGAACAAGTACTCGGAAAGCAGGGTTTAGCATCTGCCCATCTTTTCCATCTTTCAGGTGGAAAATAATCTTTGGGGTCTTCATATCATCCTTTTAAATAGTTGAGCTGTTTACATACCTGGTATGTCACTGCTGGAGGCTTCTGTGTGCAGAAGAAGACTCTCAGTAAGCTAAGCTGTGTTAACAGTTTATGTGCCAGTTATTCTTTGACTGACTTTTTTTTTTCCCCCTCTAGTTTCACGGTTAGAAAGCAAAGACAGTATTAAAAAGGTTGAAGACTCCATGGGATAGATGAGATGGGGGTGCTGCAGTATTAATATCTCTGAGAGCATCAGCACTCAGATATCAGTCTGATGCAGATGGCTCTGAGATGAGGAAGAGCGCTCCGCAGTTCTTTTCGTGCTCCTCTATCTCTTCTATATGGTTTGTGTACTTTTCTTGCTATATTTGTATGTTTATATGAACTCTCACATCTGGAAATATGGGCATCCCATAATAAATGGTGAAGGAAGAGAAGATAGGCAAGATAAATAAAATGAAATAAACTAAGGCAACTTTGTATCATCTATAAGGAGCACTTTTGCTATTACAATTTGCAATATGGTGTTTATATCCCCACAGAAAAAAAAAAGCGAGGATTGTTATCAGTTGGGATTTGACTGAAGAGATCACTCTTGTCCTATGCCCCATGCAGGGCTGGCATTTTATCTATCTGGACTTCTTTTGATATTACTCCTCCTTGACATATTCCATTTATCAGACAGCTAAAATTTGGAGAGATGGGTTGTGTTTGCTTTTTCTTCAATCCTGTTTAATTGGAAAGAATGGCCTGTTAAGACTGCTTTCCTAAGCACTGAAGGATAAATCTGTGTACCTAATGTGTGTTTTGAGGTAGTCATTTTCCTGTTTTTGTTCTAAGTACTGGTTTGCTTTTTGTTATGTGCATATCCTCTGGAAAGCAGCTGCTACCGTAGGTGAAGTATCAGCCAGTAGTGAGGATAACTTGACATTTAACATTCATTTCCTGTCTTCCGTTAGCAACCCTAATGCAACTTGTGGCCATAAATAAACTGCATTTTGTGGCTGTGCTGAGGAAGGCCTTTGTGGATTTGTTTCCCATCATGTTCATGAGAGATACTCATTGTGATATCTGTGCTGGTTGAGAATGCAGTGTGGGGTTAGGCTTGGCTGAGCATGCATCTTAGTATGAGTAATTCAAGTAGTATGAATACCAGCTTGTGGGTTCTCTGCTCATGAAGGGAAGAAACAATCTGTAGATGGCCATGGCTGTGCAGATCGCTGAGGCTTTTGGGGGATGTAATTGAGATCTTGAAGTTATGTTTATATGTATTTGGTATTCCTGATAATTTCTTTGACACTCTTGCTTTTCTTGTACATAGGTTGAACTTCACAACTCTTTCCAAGCAAGTTTTGTTCCCCAAGACAGTCATGACTGACTGAATAACTGAGTGCTGGATCGATGACCAGGAATTCACTGAGATGACATAGGGAGGAGGGAAAAGGACAATGGTGCAGAAAAAGAAAATCTGCCCTCGGTTACTTGACTACCTTGTGATCATTGGAGCCAGGTAATGTAAAAGATTCTCAACTGTATTTTTGCTTGGGCAAAGGAGTGAGGATAAATAGCCTGGCATCCTTGATGAGGTCTTGCCTGGTACTGAGGAATTGCAGTCTAGGTTGTATACAGAATGCTACCATACTGGGGGCTTGTGCTTGGTTTAAGGCACATTTTGAAAGATATTAGTGAAGACAAAAGTTTCTGCTTCATGGTCTTCAGGCACCTTTTTGAGAGTCTGCAAAAGCTGGATAAGGGTAGGCTGCTACAGAGCCATACATTAATTGTGTCTGAGCAGTATACCAGTCTGCTTCTACTGATGGCAAGACAGGTGCATCCACAAGCTGAAAACAGTGGAACTTACTTGCAAGTAAAATATTAGTTTGGGCTACTTTTTTTTTTTTTTTTTAACTTCTGAAATGTAGTCTGTAAATCCAGTTAAAAATCTGAAACCTGCCTTCTTTGTCTGGTTCGCCATCTAATACTCCTTTATCCTTATATGGAATCACTTTTTTTTTTTTTTAAAGTCTTGCAAACCATCAACAAATCTTTTTGAAGGCTTATTACCCAAAGCATTATACTAGGGAGTTGATAAAATGTGGAGTTGATACATATGCTATTTGTCAAATGCATGGACATTTAATAAATGTTACATTTTTTTTCTGCTCAAAGTTTATGCAGTTACTTTCTGACAATTTAATTACGGAAGTGTTCCTAAATGTATTATGCTTTAGTCTGTAAAGTGATTTATATGCATTGGCCTGTTGCTTTATTTCGAACTCTCTTTTACAAATGCTTAGAGTGCAATGTTTACATAGGCTAAATGGAGGAAATTACATAATCCTAGTTAAAACCGTGTATATTACTTTTTATGGGTAGAATAATCCAATTATTTCTTATTGTCTGAGAGAAAATCATTTTTTCTAATGTGGGTCCTTGACTAGGGTATGAAGGGGTAGAACTGTTACTTGGCTCCTCCAGGCATACTTAAAGTGTCTGATCTTCTTACTTAGAGTTACTAACATCAGTTCTGCTCTCCTGCAGTGTGGTCCTCTGGCTTTTTGCTGGGCAGTAGTAGCTAGGCAGCTGCTGCTCTGAGGTCTCTTGTCTTGCTAGACACTTCAGAAATGTCTTTGCTGGGAGAGTTGACTGAGCTCGCTGCTCCTGGGAATTCCTTGGGAGCTTTGTGGGGCTGTTAGCGTGGCATCTTGTTGGGCACTGGCCACAAGCAGCAGTGTCTTTTGCAAGTTTCGCTTTCATCAGATTCAACGTTTTTTAGTGTCCGAGAACCTTATTTTCTCTGGTACTTTGTAGATGTAATTTCTTCGTCTCTTACTGCTAAATAGACTCTGTAAACAATACAATCATTTTTTGACACTTCTTCAGCAAGTGATGTATTGTTTGCTTCCATTAATAAAATATACAAAAGCCTTTTAGGGCTTTGTTATTATTATTATTCTGCTTCTTACAGTATTTCATTATTTAACTGTATAGGAACTATAAAGTTTATTACCAATCAAATGCATAGACATATATATTTATGTAGTATAGCATGTTTACTTTCTCTATAATAAAGAGTTATTTCTATTTGGGAAGCTTACAGTCAGCAGAGATTGTTCTTCAAAATAAAAATATTCTATTCCTGCTTGCATTTTCTTTTTGTTATTCAGCATTTTCAGTTAACAGAAGAAGAGTAACAGTCACTTGTATTTTGAAATGGACAAATCTAAGTATGAAAGTTAGAGAATATCTTGTATAATGTTACGTTGGAGAGTGGTGGTAGAGCCGGTTACATCCTCTTTCTTGTTATCTTTACTAGGTCTTAATGATTTTAAAATGTGAGGTCGTGCTTTGTAACAAATGGATCAAAACAAACAGAAGTCATCTTGGGGACATATTTATCTTCCTTGACTCCGTTGGTCCAGCAATTTTCACTGATTTTCATGGAAAAGGGATAACAGGAAAACAGTTAATATCTTGAAAGAAACTAAAGGCTGTTCTTTCAGTCAAATTTAGGAATAAACAATATTGCCCTTCTGTTCCATTAGTGATTTGTGGGGCAAAGGTTGGGCTGTATGTATTACTGCTTGGATCTTGTAGGATAACTAATCCTTCAAATCTTACTAAAAAAACCCAACACAGAAGCACACACATATGCAGTTCGTAGAACTTTTTAAATGAAAATTTTATGAGATGAAGTACAGTTCCTCTGAATTTGTTAGAAAGTCTGTTTCTAGTTTAATGGCTGCCAGAGTGTTTTCAATGTCGCTTAGGGTTACCAAAACCAAAAAGCTTATGATGGATCATCAAGTAAATGAAAGCGCTTTTTCTAAGTGCTAGGGTTGCTTACTCAGTTAGCTTTTTATCTGACCAAAGGCAGGTTTACTTTTATTTTTGCTGGTTTGTTTTGTGCTTGCTTGCTTGCTCCCTCCCTGTCCCACTTCTTACTAGAAGAGCATTAGCATTCTTAATTTCTCTGCACTCTCTAGCTCGTGTATTTCTGCTGGGGTAATTAAAGGTTTTTATATGTCATACATCAATAAAGAATATTATGTTATCCTCATGATACTTCTGGCACAGCTGCTTCCTTTTTGTAGCCAGCAAAAACTGTTGTTGCTTGCTTGACTGTCATGGAGTTTTACTTTCCAGCTGGGGCCCTCTTCATTAGTCTGGACAGGATATTGTGATAAATCGTTGTTTGGACTCTTCCCCTTATGGATTTCTGAAGTTCTCCAGTATGTCCTCTTTACAGGTTCCCGTAACTGACAGGTCATGTGGGATACAGGGGACAGGAGGTTTGTGGTGGTGGTGGTGAATAGTCCTTCTTACCAGAAGAGCACTGAAATAATGCTCTGTGGGCCTATGGTGAGGTCTAGAGTATTATCATCTATTCCACCACGGTAATATCATATCACATCATTGAGAAACTTTTTTTGTGTTTTTCCTAATTCGGAACTGATGTAGAATTTTCATACTTACTTTAATCTTGTCTTTAAGTGTAGAAAGAGAAATAGAGTTGATTTTATTCTGGCTGCACTTATTTCTGCAGGTCATATTTGCAGGGGGATGTCTACCACCCAAATGTTACCCAGACAGCTGTGCAGCTGTCCAAATTCAACTGGAAAATAAATTCAGGGAAATAACACACAGGGTGAACAGTGTGCTTTAAAAAAATTGAACAGAGTTGCTCCTTCTTGGGCCTTGATGTAGTATTATTAGTATTATCTTCTGCAATCATTGTGGCCCTTTCCCTGCTTGCCTTTCTGTCTTTGTGACTGAGAAGCTGCACTTCCTTTGAGTGCAGTAGGTTAGAAGAATGAAAGATGAAGCTGAGTCCCTAGGCTCCTAACTTAACAGGGAGGCACCAAAGATTTTTCTTGGCATTAGTCATCCACGTGTGTTTTATCTTATTTGTTTGCTTTTTGTAGGCAGCCAAGTAGTGATAGTGTTGCTCAGACACCTGAGCTGCTACGGCGTTACCCTCTGGAAGATCACGTGGACTTTCCTCTGCCGCCTGACGTCGTGTTCTTCTGCCAGCCAGAAGGATGCCTGAGCGTGCGCCAGAAGCGAATGAGCTTCCGTGATGACACTTCCTTCGTCTTCACGCTCACAGACAAGGATACAGGTGTCATTCGCTATGGAATCTGTGTCAACTTCTACCGCTCTTTCCAGAAGCGAGTACCCAAGGAGAAGGGAGAAAGCACAGGGGGACACAAGGCTCGGGACGGTCAGAAAATCCCCAAAGGTGGTGACGCTTCTGTCCCCCAAGAAGAGGCCGGGACCGAGAGTTCAGAGAGCGGTTCCTCACTGCAGGCTCCAAGTACAGAGGCTGCTGCAGATGTGAATCGATCACCACGCAGTAAACGTCTGGCTAAAGGCAGCCATCGCTCTCGGAATAGCACTCTGACATCCCTGTGTATCCTCAGCCATTATCCCTTCTTTTCCACTTTCCGTGAGTGTCTGTATACTCTCAAGAGACTTGTGGACTGCTGTAGTGAGAGGCTGTTGGGCAAGAAGCTGGGGATTCCTCGTGGAGTGCAGAGGTATGTTATGGGAGAATAAAACTTTTTATCTGGCACTGTGTGTTCCTGGGGCTGCAATTTTCTGTGTGGTTAAGTGCTGCTATAGATCTGGTTGCATAAGAGGCTGGTGGCTGGCCGCTGACATGTTTCTGTTTTAACCCAAAAAATCATACATCTGAAAAAAAAAAAAAAAAGGGGGGGGGAAACTTCTGTGGTGATTTTTGTAGGACTTTTCTCTCTGGTTCTGTAAACTGATTGATTTTAGTGCCTCCACAGACATATCAAAAACTATCCCTCTAGCAGTTGACTGAATGTGAAGGTAAACAGTGATACTATGACTGCCGCTTTGCCATATGAGCTCCATGGCAGTGCACATCAAGACTGATCCTCTGGCAAATTAGAAACAGTCAAGGAACAATGAGGAGGATTTCTACTTAGGGTAAGAGGGGAATGATGAAATTTGGCTTGATGAGCTTATGAAAAACAGTCTGAACTTCAGTGCGAGAGAAGACTAGAGAAGTAGGAATGGCTGGAAGAGGTGAAAGTGCAGTATTTGGAGAGAAGAGGGAGGAGAAGTAGAAAGCTAAGGAGTTGCCTAGGAAGCTTATGGGACTGGGGAGTGATAACAGCAACTTAAAAGGAACTTGCAGTGTTGTCTTATGTATTAGCTGTTATCACATTGGGTATGGAACAAAAGCTGTTATACTGCAGTGTGTGCAGGTAACAATGTCTTTATGTGTATCCGTTATAGATGTATCTGTATTACTGTGCCTGGCACCTACATTGCAGGAAGATATTGTTCCTTTCCAGTATGTTAACTAGAAAGAGAGAAAAAAAATAAATCCTTGAGGGAAGGAGGAAAATATCTTAATAGTGAAAGTGCTGAAACTGTGAATTCATAATGTAAATCCCATAGCTTGGTACAGGATTCTGGGCTTTGACTGACTCGTGCATCAGCACATTTGTCACCTGAATCCACTGACTGTTGGGAAAGAATGATTCATCAGAGCAAAACAATGTATTTTTAATGGAAATATTAAAGGAACTTGCCTTGTCCCTTGGTTTTGTCTGATTATTATTGAGAGAGAAAAAAAACTTAATTTCACAGTTCTCTTCAACTCTCTAATCTCCGATCTGAATTTAGAAAGGGATGCCAGTGTGTTCTGGCCTTGCTGAATGGCATGTGGATTTTGAATAATTTACTATTGTTTGGAATCATTCTTAGAGTTAAGAACAACAGAGTGACAGGTGGGGAGTGCAACAGGAGGAATGCTGAGCACACAACACAGGGTTGATTAAGACAGCAGGTTTGAATTACCATGTGGCTTGCAAGCCACTCCCTAGAAAAGTGGTTTTGTAATGATGACAGAATAAAAGTGAGACCAAATCCTTACTGTTGCAAAAGCTGAGCATGAGTATTTTTTGTTTATATCAAGTTATTAATCTCCTTTCTTTGTAAGGGTCTGAAGGACTGCTGGAAGCAGCACAATCAGGCTTCTGTAGCTCTGGACTAGACAGGAGATTGTTTGAGCCACGTGATGGGTTTCGAGCACCGAAATGCAAGTGTCTTCAGAGATCAAGACCTTACTGAACCACTTGTATGAATGAACTTTCAGACCAAGATGACATACTCGCTTATTTCTACTATAAAAAGATTTACGTAGTGGTGCTTTCAGTAAACTAAACCCTACCTTCCCTCCTGTTTTGTGGCCAAACGTCTGTTAGGTGCATCTTTTAATGCTTGGGGGATCTGCCCTTTTCCTGGAAGAGCCTTGTAGAGTGGCTGTCAGGTAGAGCTGTTGGACTATTAATGCTGCTGTTCTGTTTGCAGGGACACTATGTGGCGGATTTTCACAGGCTCCCTGCTGGTGGAAGAGAAGTCCAGTGCATTGCTGCATGACCTGCGGGAGATCGAGGCCTGGATATACCGTCTGCTCCGTTCGCCGATGCCTGTGGCTGGCCCGAAGCGCGTGGGTGTGGGAGGCCCGCCACACGAGCTGCAGCCAGCTTTGACCTTTGCTCTTCCTGATCCGTCCCGCTTCACCTTAGTGGATTTTCCATTGCATCTGCCTTTGGAGTTGTTGGGAGTGGATGCCTGTCTGCAGGTGCTGACCTGTATCCTCCTGGAGCACAAGGTAGGAAGAGAAGAGTTGATCTTTGCTCATAAGTATGTGGGAAGTTCTGTTCTGCCCGAAACAAAATAGGATAGATGTGAAGCACAGCTATCCCTTGCAGTCTCTGGAATCATTTTGTCTGGGGAGGAAAACTGATTTCTGCCTGAAGTTCCCGTTTGAAAAGGTTTTGCTGTCAGTCTGAAAGGCATCCATAGTTTGTTTCAGGCATGCTAATAGAGGGTCATCCAGTCCCATAGCAGTCAAATCGGAGGCCCGCAGGGTGTGATCTTTTGGGTACCCACAAGGGAGTATCAGAAGGGAATGTTATTTCTGTGCTGTTGTTTCTGTGGTCGCAGGTTGTTTTGCAGTCCCGAGATTATAATGCACTTTCCATGTCTGTGATGGCCTTTGTGGCTATGATCTACCCGCTAGAGTACATGTTTCCAGTGATTCCACTCCTTCCTACCTGCATGGCCTCTGCAGAACAGGTACATATTTTTTCTTCAGTAGCCTTTTGTAAAAGATGTTTCTATGATGTCTTAAAGTGTACGCCAGGATTAGTACTTGTTTCCTGCCCCGCTGTTTTCGCAAGGATTGTAGAAAGATTCCCTTGCAGAGACTGCTTTCCAAACCATTTAAGTCAGAGGTAACACATTTTATTTAAGATATCCTCAGAGCATGCTGAGTGAATAGTGTGGTTCAGACCTGTGCCTTCTGAACAGTGGACTTGGAAGGTCAGAGATCCTCAACAGGATGAATTTTTATTTATTTATTTTTTCTTCAAACCAAATATTGAGGTTTGTTGGGCATCATCCAAAGCAATATTTAAGAAATACTGAGGGTGTTAATTCAGAGTTTGGAGACCATTGCCTACAATTTATTCTCCTGAGAAGTATGAAGTGTTGAGTATTTTTGGCTGGAAGCCTGCTTTTTTTGCTGATATTCAAGTGTCTGGAGGAGCTGACTTGGAAAGATATAATTTTGCTTGGAAAGATATACTTCAGGCCATCTTATTACTTCAGTGTTATCCTGCAACTGCTACTGCATTTTTTTTTTTTGCCCTTCACAGGTAAGCAACTGTTCTAGATTTAAATAAGAAATTAGTTCTCCAATCTGATGATTTTGAGGTGCTGCACAGCTTATTGATTTACATTGTTTTCCTCTGCAACTCCCCTTGTAGGAAACAACCGTAATCTCACTGTTTTCCCATGTGCATCTGAAAACATATATTATTTCTGTGCTCTCTGGAGATGTTACTGTTTTGAAAACAAGTTAGCCTTGTAAAATGGATTTTACCTTAACATCACAGACTTGGTTTGTTTGAGTTGGATTTTTCTTGGAACATCTTTATTTTTTTTTCCTCTTGGTCCATGATTGCCATGGCAACCTGTTAGTTTAGCTAAGCTTTTTTTCCAAAAAGCCATTCAGCCATATAAAAGTTAATCCTGCGAGATTAAATAAAAAAAAGATTCTTCTAAATTAAAAAAATGAAGCTCTTGGAAGCAGGACTTCTACTCATATATTTTTTTTAACGTTTCTATTGTATGGAGTTGCTGAATTCTATCACTGCCTTGTGTACTGTTTCCTGCTGTGAACAGGGTGTAGTTAAACATTTGTGAAGAAGTGTGTTAAATCTAATCTTGTCCTTATTGATGTCTCTTAGTTGCTTCTGGCTCCTACACCTTACATCATTGGTGTTCCAGCAAGTTTCTTCCTTTATAAACTGGATTTCAAAATGCCTGATGATGTATGGCTTATTGACCTGGATACCAATAAAGTAAGTGATATGCACCAGGACTTGAGGCTTTGTTTCCAGTGGACTGCACTCTTTCATCAATGTATCTGGGGAAAATTTAAGAATGCCTGTTTTTATAGGGCAGCCTCGGTCTGCCTTTGTCATTCCTTTCATAAATTTCAGAATTCCATTGCTTCTCCTATTTCAAGGTTCCTCTTGCTTTTGTTTGAAAGAAGTTTGTTTTCAGTTAATCAGTCTGACTAATTCCTGTGAAAATAAATCATCAAAGAAATGATGTCTTTTTGGGTAACTGTGACCCTGTTTTTTATGGTGGGAAGTCAGATCTGGCACAAGGCTTCCAGCAGCATTGGTGTTGTCTTGATTCAAATGAGACCACTTTCTGTTGTGGCATTAGCAAAACTATTTCAGGGGAAATGTGTGTAACATTATTGAAAATTCCAAAGGATGAGTGGGTTCATTCAAACTTCTCTCTGCCCTCTCCGCCCTCTCTTTCTTTCTTTTTTTTTTTTTTTCCCCCTGGCCTCTATTGCTTTGTCTGTGGTGTGTTGGAAGTGTAGGTTCTGGTAGCTACCAGAAGTAGCTTCTGGTTTGGAAATGGCTACACATAGGGATTTTTTTTTAGTCTGCTGCTGTGTTTAATTTCAGGTAATTGTTCCCACAAATGCAGAATCTTTGCCATTACTGCCAGAGCCAGAAGCTTCAGAGCTGAAAAAGCATCTGAAACAGGTAAGGGGGACTTTGGAAATAGGACATAGTTCAGGAGAACTCTGTAGATGTACTCTTGACAACTGTTCTGCTGTATTAGACTAGAATTCAAGTTAAAGCAAAACGTGTTAAAAGCAGGTGGGTACTCTTGCACGTCAGAAGGATGTGGGTAGGATACCAGGGAATTAGAATACACTTGTTCAAGCAGGTGCCTGTCAGTCATGGAAGGAACTTCCCCTCTGGATGTGGAGATGGGCGAATCACTGGAGTGGCCAAATGAAGAAAAAAAAAAATCTGAGACTTTCGTCTTATTTTGGATCTCTTCATGGCTTCTCCAAAGATTTCATTGTCATCTTTGTTACCTGTTTCATCTTCTGCTGTCTCTGCTACTTCCACTTCTCTCATTTGTTGCGGGATCACAGGACTAGGAACTTTGTGTCGACCTGTTTAAATTGCCTGTTTCGTGAGTGGCCATATAAAAACTTAGCCAAGCCTTTGAGCTTGGGGAGCAGTATCAGTTGAAGCAGGTGCTAAGTGGTGGTTATCCTGTTGCTGCTTTTCTTTCTTAAAACAGAGTGTTGATGTGGAAGAATGGCCACAGAGATGTGTCATTGCAATTAATTTCTTGGCCAGGAGAGGGATAATTTGAAATGTGCTTGGACACAGCAGACTGGCTGTGTTTCCTGTGGTTATTTGGGGCCAACTTGGTTTTGGTTGGTACAGAAAGTTCCAGGTTCCTCCTTTACATAACCATGTGGGCTTTCAACTCTGACTTCATCTGTCTATGTATGATCATCTTTGTTTCCCCTCCATTCACAGATCTGTGTGTGAGGTCTCAATCTCTCCGCTCAGATCCTGCTAAGCCATTAATCAGCTTGGGTCATCCTGGCTGATCGTGTCAAGCAGGTTTTATCTTTTATTTCTGTTTTTCTCATGCACGCTGCATGCAGTATCTAAAGGTAAAGTGTGTTACTGACCTGGTGAGGTCTTTCTCTCTCCTCAAAGACCAGGAGAGCAAAGTGTGTAACCTTTGTGATACCTTAGTACCTCCTGACACCACAGATGGAAATAATGCATTGCTTGGAGTTGTTAGTTCCATCTTTCCCCTGCTACTGCCTCACCCCCTTGAGATTTCAGGCGCTATTCAGAAAAAAACTCTCACTAGGGCAAAGCTGAATATCAGAAGAATAAAATGTGACTTGCTTGAACACCTTTTTAAAATTCTCAGTATTCACCCAAACATAGGGAAGACTCTTATATTCTTTATCAATAAGAGCTGACTATTGGGGACGGAGAGGGAGGGCTGCTGGTTGATGTACAAGGTGGAGAGGACTAAATTGAGGACTGTGGCACCAAGGTTAACACCCTGGTTTGCCTTTGGGTCTTAGTGTCAATGAAAAAAAAATGTAGGACATCTACTTTTAAATTACAGTGGAAAGCCTTTCTACTTTCCAAAGAAACTGTAGCTACGTATGGATGTTTGGGGGTGGGGCAGTCTGACCTCTTTACCAAAATATGTTTATTTTGTGATCCTTTTTATTTCCTCTCATTTGTGATACCTGGTAGTAATAGATTTATTTTTTTTTCCTCCATCTGTTTCTCTGTGGTCATGTGTTCGTCTTGGCTCTGATGGGCTGCTGCTGTTATCATATGATCTTCCATCTTGCCTCCAGTGTCTGGTTAGCATGACTGCAATCACTCAGCAACAGCTGCTCACCCCTGACAACAAGGTTCTTTATTTTACTCTTTTCCCTTCAATTTTACATTTTATCCTTTCCTTTAATATTTTGGTTTTGCATTTACTTATTTATTTGTAAAATAAACACACAAGGACTCTGTGGGCTTAGGGGAGAAGTGATGAGTGTTTAGGATTGTTCTGATTCTCTGGGACAAAATTCCTAGTCATGCTGCTCCATGCTGCATTTCCCTGAGGATGTTATAGGGGCTGAGGAGGATGGTAGCTTTGTGGAGAGATGAAGACCTAGTTCAGATGGAACGCGAAATATTGCAGGGATATGCAGATATTTGTGCAGACATATCTGAACACTGTCCTGGAATATCAAGCTCACCAGTCTACCTGCCAAGGTGCAAGGCGGGTTTCAAGCCTTCTACACACCAAGGTGCATTCAAACTACGCACGTGGAATAACTCTCCTACAAATTGTTGAGAATGCCCTACAGCTAGTGGGCAGATCAGTGCGGTCTGTTTTCACTCAGGAATGATATAGCCCTGCAGGGCTGTGTGCCACATTTTGCCTGGCTCTACAACTGTCCTTTGTTGAGGAGATGGTTTGGATAGTGCACGTAAACAAGGATAGAGATATATTTCCTGGATCAGTGCAGAAGAGATGGTTTAAGACACATGAAGGGAGAATACTCATTTGCTGTGATTGCCTGGAGGGCAGGGCAGCTTTGCTGTCAGTCTTGTTTCTTAAATATTTTTTTCTTACTGAGCTTATATATAATGTTGTCCTTTGTCAGGCCCTGGCCAGCATGAGTCTGAATACTCAGCCCATTCTTAATCTAGAAAAGTTTCATGAGGGGCAGGAGGTGCCATTGCTGCTGGGAAGACCTCAGAGTGACTTGCAGTCCACTCCCTCCACAGAATTCAACCCTCTGATTTATGGCAATGATGTGGACTCTGTGGATGTGGCTACCAGGTGAGGCTGAACAGAAATGTGCTGCTAAGTGCTAACTTTTATAAAAAGGTTGCACTTGAAGGATTATAAAAAGGTTGCACCTGGGAGTACAGATGCTTCTGTGGTCCCATGATGGAAGCAACATCTTGGTTCTGCTGCAGATTGTCCTTCATGTCATGGGTGAGGGGAAAAAAGAGTAGAATTTACAGTGTTTGTATCAGGTCTGTTAAATGCTTGAATATAACTATACATCTTAATACGAGGCTTTTTTTCTTTGCGTTTTCCTATAGTTCAGCCACTTTACCCTAGACTGATCAGTTTGATACTGTCTCCTCAGCTTAAATTACAAGCTTTGAACTACAAGAAAACTGGAGGCTATATTTTTACCTCAGATAGCTGGTATGAGAAAGGTGTCTCTCCTTGGATGGGTCTTGGTGCTGGGGTGGTGAATTAAACAAAGTGATTTAATTATTTATTTTAAGAAGTTTTCTGGGAAGACAACATTTTTGCTTTGGGTTACTATTCTTCAGAGGTTTGAGACATTTCCCCCTGTATAACTCTTACTCTATATAACTCTGCCTTCTCTGGTTTTCTTTGTTGTTGTTTTTTATTGTAATCTGATATATTGCCTTTTTTTTTTTTTTTTTTTTAGGGTTGCTGTGGTGGGGTTCTTCAATTCGCCGAATGTTTTGCAAGGGTTCCAGATGCACACTCGTACTCTTCGTCTATTCCCACGACCAGTAGTGGCCTTTCAGGCTAATTCCTTTCTTGCCTCTAGGCCAAAGCAAACACCTTTTGCAGATAAGCTTTCCAGGACCCAGGCAGTAGAATACTTTGGCGAATGGTCGCTCAACCCTACTAACTATGCTTTTCAAAGAATTCATAACAGTAAGTCTTGGTCTCAGCTTTCCCACACAGTTGGTAAACTGCTGGAGGTTAAACTGCAGAGGGATTCTAGGAATACCTGCTGGGGAGGGTTTTCCAGTTCAAGGAACCTTATTCTATTTTCATATGTTCTGATGGGTTTCTACTGTTACCCCTGCTATTAGCCTCCCATTTTTCCAGTTAATTTTCACCTCTCATCTTGTTTGCTTGCAGAGAAGTAGTTTTGTAGGCTTCTAAGGGCAAAAGTGATCTTGTCCTTTGTGCAAGCCTTTCTAGGGATAACCTCACCAGAGATGAGGCCTCTAACACAAGGGAATGAGCTCAATTAACTCTTCTTGTTTCCTGTGCAGACATGTTTGACCCAGCACTGATTGGTGACAAACCCAAGTGGTATGCTCACCAGCTGCAGCCCATCCACTATCGTGTCTATGACAGTAATTCCCAGCTGGCTGAAGCCCTGAATGTCCCAGTAGAGAAGGAAACAGACTCTGATCCAACTGATGACAGGTTAGTGGAAAGCGTAACTCCAGTCACTGCAGATATTCTGTCTTCCTGCTACTGCTTTTTTACTTGCAGCTGTTTTCTCTAGCCTCATAGGTTACTGTTTCATTTCTTCCAATTGATGCTCTGGTATCACAGTAACCTCGAATTCCTTTGCTGGTGCTTTCTCAAGCCTTCATTTCACACAATTCTTCATTTGTATTTTGCTGCTTTCTTTTGCTATGTATGTCTCTTGCTATTTGATACATCCTCCCACTGCAATGCTTTGTTCCTCCAAGCTGCTCTTTCTCATTTTTTCCTGCCTTATTACTACATTTTTCTTGCCCATCCTACCATTCTTTCAAATCTCTATTCAAAGCACATAGCTACGCAAAGCTTGTTAGTATTACCTAGTGTCTGATACCTTTTATGTATTCAATAAATTTAAAATAACTTTTTTGTTATGGTGATTTTTACTAGATTAGTCAGTTTTGCTTCCAAATTTATTACCTTTCAATTTCTATTAGCCCATGAGACCTTTCAGGCTGGAAACTGTTTGCTTTTTATGTTCCGCACAGCACTAGTGAAGTTGACAAAGTTGGATGTATCATTAGTTTAAAAAGGAAGCACTTTCTCTTGCAGTTTCCAATACCTTTGAAGCTTCTGCCTCCAGCTCCACTGACAGTTCATACACTGCCCACCTATGCTTGATCTCATTAATTTTGCTGAAAGCTTTTAATGTCTTTGTATGTTGTCTCTTCACCTGTCTCAAAATTGTTTTATTTGCTCATACTGTTCATAAAGCCAGCCGGAACTCCTGTCAAAAGTTTGTTCGCAGGGCCTGTAATATGAGATTGACACCTGTGCAATCAGTGCTGATGCACATCTTTGAAATACTTGACACTGCTGTTGCTGTGCTGCCTCTCATCTCTCCCTCACTTGTCATGGCAGTGGCAGTGACAGTGTCGACTATGATGACTCAAGTTCCTCCTACTCCTCCCTTGGTGACTTTGTCAGTGAGATGATGAAATGTGACATTAATGGCGATACTCCAAGTGAGTAACTCTGGGCTGTACTTTCACTTAACCCAAAAGATTCTTCCTTCCCATTCACCTGTGCTCTAGCAAAAATGCTACCTCTAAGTCTCTGTATCAGCAAGGTCCCCCTCATAGTCTCTCTGAGGTAGAGGAGACTATTTTTTTATCCAGACCAAAAGAAGGGGCAAAACAAAGATACTTCTGCCTATAAGCAACATCTTCCAAAGGATGCTGGGAGAGAGAAACGAAATTAGGTGCTGCTGAACAAAACTGGCTTGCTAGGTCTGGGCTGGACCTGCTGCTGCTGGGAGATGTGGTACAGTGGGAGTGGCAGAGCACTAGCTTTCTCCTGTTCTGCATACTGGTCCTCAGTGCTGACTTGAATGAACCACTTATCCTAGGGAGAACAGAAAAATCATTATTTGTGGTTTGTATGGAGGCTTCAGCAATAGCTTCTCTTGTGATAGTGAGAAGCTATCACTTCTTTTAAAAACTGTATATAGAAACCACAATGCATTTCCCATGTCCCAAGGACAAAAGGTAATCACAAGTTGCAGTGAGGGAAATTGTGGTTGGAAATGAGGAAAGCTCTTTGCAGTGAGCATGAGTAATAGGCACTGTAATAGGTACCTAGAGAAGCAGCAGGATCTCAAGCCTTGGAGACTTTCATACCTCAGTGAGACAAGGTCACAGGTAGCCTGTTTGGACTTTGAAGTTAGCTCTGCTTTGAGCAGGCAGTTGCAATATGTGATCTCCAAGAGTCCTTTCTAACCTCACTTTTTGTGATTTTTGTATCTATCGAGCAGTCCTCATCAGCCATTGATCTTTAGATGAACAAAAAGCTGAAGAAAGCAGTACTCTTTAATGCAAAATTATGTATTTCCAGATGTTGATCCCCTGACTCATGCAGCCCTTGGTGATGCGAGTGAAGTGGAATTTGACGATTTTCAAGAATATTCAGGGGATCTGGATGAACCGGCCATGGACAGTGAGAACTCCCAAGAGAACAACCAGCCTCGTTCAAGTTCCAGCACTACAGCCAGTAGCAGCCCCAGCACTGTCATCCATGGAGTGAATCATGTGTGTACCGGGATGAGTTCAGCCCAGAGATCATACATGGTATTAGGATATGCAGAAGGGGAGAATGCATGTGGTTCTGGCTGAGGGGGGCAAAAGCTAGTAGGACTGAAACCATGTGCAGAGTAGCTGGCATGCTTTTTCTGGACTTTCTGAACAAGGTTGAGTCTATGGAAGTGTCCTACGCTGGGTCAGAACAGTCCTGCATGTGCAAGCTCCCATGCATTGAAAAATACATTATTAACATAGACCTCGAGGGTGTGACTGCTGGAATTGCTTTTAAACAGTTTGGAAAGATTTGATGTGTTAGAGGAATCGGGAATGCGTGAGGGTTTTAAGAATCTTCTGATCACTTAAGAAGAAATGGAGTTGCTTCCATTGCCACAAAGCAACTTTCACAACTCAGTGAGACAAGGTCACAGGTAGTCTGTTTGGGCTTTGAAGTTAGCTCCACTTTGAGAAGCCAGTTGCAATACATGACCTCCAAGAGTCTCTCTAACCTAAATTTTTGTGATTTTTATATCTATTGAGGAGTCCTCAATAGATATAAAGATGGTAGAAAGTTATCCCAAGCTAATGTTTAACAGATCTATTTTACAGTGGAGATCTACAGATAGATCTATAGATCTATTTTACAGTGGAGTAAGCCACTACCTAAATGCTGCACAAATACTGCAGTGTTTAAGAAACCCTAGGTTAGAACCACTGATAGAGATGATGGGATGGGGTTGCAAGGCATTGCAAGAACCCTAAACACTGCCCAGTTTGAAATAATCGTTCTTTTCATGACATTCAGTTGGATGTATTGCAAATTACCAAACAAGTCAATTATTTGGTTGGTCCACAGGAGTCAGCAGATTCAGCAGAGATGGAAGACAAGATAGTTGCTGGGTTTTCAAACCATATCCCTTCCTTGCAACTACCACCAAACTTTCCCAAGATGAGCTTGGACCATCGTGAGAATGACAGCCCAGCCGGCAGCATGAGCTCTGCAGAAGGGGTGGTGAGGAAGCGAGAGTACGACAACCCCTACTTCGAACCACAGTATGGATTTCCTACAGAGGATGAGGATGATGAGCAGGAAGAGAGCTACACCCCAAGATTTAACCAGAATATCAATGGAAGCAGGCAAGTCTCCTGCTCTTCTATACTGCATTTGGAAGGGTTACTGTTTGCTTCATGTAGTTTAACATTCCTTCTCTCACATGTTCTTTGCAACTTAAGTTAGTCGATACCATTTAACGCTGAAATTCTGCAAAAAAAAGTTTGACTGCAGGCAGTTACTTAGTTTTCTCAATTTTTCACTTTTATTTAACCAATAGGAGCTAACAGAATTACCAGTGTTTCTGAGAGGTGTTCTAGGGTATCACCTGCTGATTCTTGGAAATATCTGAGGTTATGAAGCCTTATCTCTTGGGGGTAAGATGTGAAGGGCATCTTATAGTGACAGACAACATTGGGTTTTCTTGTTATTAGTGTTAAAGCAGACCCCTTCCATTCCTGATCCACAGATGCCCTTTTACAGACAAACTTTCAATATACCCTGAAAAGTAATAAAAGCTTGAATACAAATATTCTTCATCCATCTTCCCCTCCCTGCCTTCACATTAAGGGCAGTGTGGTGACAAACAGTGAGAAATGAGACTAGCTTTTATGATTTGTGGGAGATAATGCTGTTGATTGGGGAAAATGCTTATAACACTTGTCCTTATTTCTTTAAAGGTCTCAGAAGCTACTGCGCCCAAACAGCTTAAAACTGGCCAATGATTCTGATGCAGATTCAGACTCCAGGGCCAGTTCCCCAAACTCTACCATCTCCAATAACAGCAGTGAAGGCTTTGGGGGCATCATGTCTTTTGCTAGTATGTACTAATCCATTAAGCTGTTTTTATCTTTCATTTTAGAGATTAAAGAGAGGTGCAATAGAGAGGAGGCTAGTTAAGAGGATGATTAAGAGATAATTAAATTGTCAGCAGGTCACTGGAAATTGTTAGGAGTCACAGGACCTTTTGACTTACATTGCTGATAACCAACGTTTTTCTTACTGAAAAACACCTAAAGCATTAGTTAGACAGTTAGACCCTTGAGTTATATGGCATTTGAGATACAGATCATATTTTTCAAATATGTTTTAATAATAACTTCTACAGGTATGGAAAACTAATATAGAGTTTTGCTGAATGAAAGAAAATATAATTAACTGAGTCTCGTGCTACTGTGGGGAGCATGGGAAGCAGTTTGTGGCAATGGGGAAAATGCGTTGGATGTTTTTCGTAAAGCAATTATTATTTAGTCTGCTTAGATTATTCTTTTTAGCCTTATTTTAGCAGTTATGCTCATATTTTACATGAACATCCAGCGGTTTTAGAGATAATCAACTTGTTCATCTACCTGACATGTCTGCGGACAGTCTGAAAGCTTGAGCCGATGAGTGTGCATTGCTATGTTATTAAGATCTTTAAGGGGAAAAAAACCTACATTGTTTTCTCTCTATAGTTTCTGTTTTGAAGTAAACTTATGTAGCAAATTTATGGAGTTTCACAAGACTTTGCACAATCTTCACTTTAAGGTTACATACTTTGGAAACTTTTTCTCATCTTGTTTTCTCATGTGATCCTTGCCATTCATTTGGTCCTAAAAAAGAGAATCAAATTAGACACAGTCATTGTGAGGCAACCTGTAATTCAGGAAGATAAGTGAATATTGTTAGTACATTGTTGGTACCAGGCTCAAAGATAAAATGTCTATAATTTTAACATAAAAGCTAAGAATTAAGATTTTTATACAGATTGGAATAATAAAATTACAGCTGTGTTGCATCACAGATGAGATGATTTACTTCTAAGGTTCTAGGTACTAAGGGCCAAGGGACCTTGGCTAAAAAGGCAAATTGAAGGAAGTTTAAGAGGTTTGGGGGTGTGCAGTGAGATAGGCATTTAACTGTTTTCTTCTTCTGTCATAGGCAGCCTGTACAGAAACCACAGTACAAGTTTTAGTCTGTCCAACTTAGCCCTACCAACCAAAGTTGGGAGAGACAAGAATACTCCCTTTCCCAGCCTAAAAGGTAACCATTTTTCTATGTCTGCTACAGCCATTACATTCTTGTGACTGAGAACTGTGCCTTCTAGGCGTTTAAAGGCATTTTGGTAGTTTGGGCTAGTGCTTGTGTTGGGTCTAGCGTTTCTCAGGTGGTCTCAACAATTAGGTTGTTTTGCAATGGGAAACTTGCTAGTCTCTTAAAGGATGCAGAGTTAATTTGGGAGTTTTTTTTTTTCCTTCACTTTGTTTGGTTTTATTTTTAAATACTTAGCATATAGAATGGGAACCAAAATCTGGGTTCTACTTTCTCACCGACATCTTCATGATTAGCTTTAGGCAACTTAAGCCCCATTTATAAGTGCGCGATAATGCTTGCCTACCTCCTGCGGGGCCTGAGGTCTGTGTAGGTTTTGAAAGTGTTAGGTCTTTTCAGCTCACCAAGTGGAAAATTACCTGCTCAAAGTTGAGTTATACACCTGTGCTTCAGCTCATGCAGAGTGAAGATCCATCCCAAACTTACGCACACAGTCTTCTAATTGGAACGTCTTCTGTTTGCAGTATCATTAGAGGATGTGACTGAAGAGAAGCTAGAGAAATAATCTTCTTAAAGTAGGGAATTTAGCCAGCTTGGTTATCCTTGCACTGAATGGGGTAGTAGAAGGATGATTTCAGGCATGGTAGTGTTTTAGTGTTGAGACCTTTTCTGTTAGTGAACTAGGGGGAGCTGTTATTTTCCTTTCAAGTTATTCTATCTGATTAGATCTTGCCGCTTTTGTTTTAATATGTTGATTTATTTATTTTTCCTCCTCATCATTTTCATCGGTAAAGATTACTTTAATCTGGAAGTGGGAAGGGATGTGGATGAAGGTTGGTATGATGTTTTGCTGACCTCTGAGCTTGTAGAAACAAAGGCCAAAAGCTGAGTTTTGGGTTTCTGCTTTGGACTTTGTTTTTGAGACAAGTAAATCGTTCCCTGTGTGTAAAATGAGGAGGAACAGGACTGGTATGGTGAAAACACTAGCAGAGACTTTGTCCAGCTGTTTTTGACAAGATTCTGCCAGTTGGTTGCATTTTCATGTCCAATTGTGCAGGATAAGAGGCATACTTCAAGTCAGGGTTATTTTCATGGGTAAACTTCTTAATGACTGATTCCATGCATTGGAAGAAAACAGTGATGGGTTTTGCCATTCCATGTTCATGCTTTGTGCCTCATCTTCTGCAGTCTGGTGTTCTTTTCTTGAAGACTGTAATGCTGTAGGGCATTTAATATTACTGTACAGCTATGAGGATGAAATTCCCATGGAGTTGTGTGGTCCGTCCATGCATGTGCAAGGGTGTGTATGTGTTTGTTCACCTCTGTGCGCATGCTGGCTCACTGGGGTTCCCGCTGGGCACTTTGTTTTTCAAACGTGTTTTTGTCTTTGTTGTAAGGATATAAAATTGCTGACTCTTCCTACCAAATGTGTGTGGTACCCTGTGTTTGTGACTCTGTAATGGGAAATGATGCTGGGACTCCATCTCATTGCTGCTGTTTTACTTTTCATCTTCCTTTTTTATTTCATGCGCATCCATTGATATTGTTCTTTCCTCAGTGATGCAGACATTTTTGATAGTGCCCTTGAAATGCAATGTGTGCAATAGTATCCTTGGAGGTGCAATGCATTGTTTCTGTGATGCCAAATTTCAAGTCAAGCACTATCTCCTGGTGATGAGCCTTAGCAATGAGGCTGGCCCTTTTTGTCTTGGGCTTTATCATCCTTCCTGCTCTAGTGTCTTTGGGTTTTGTTTTGAGGGAGGATTGGGAAGAAGCTGGTAGTTTGTTACTGTTGTTTTTTGGTTTTGGTTTTTTTTTTTTGGTGCTAATGGTGGGGAGTGTAGATATTGTAGTACACTACTAATTGTATATTTTGTGTCCCAGTATTTGGGTTAAATACTATAATGGAGATTATTACTGAAGCTGGCCCAGTAAGCAATGAAGGTGGGTTCCCTACAGCATGAGCTGTGCATGATGTACCAATTTCCAGCATTCCCTATGCCTGACTTGGGGCTACCTTTCTCATTGGGTAACCAGTATCATATGATCTATACTAGTCACCCCCAATGCATTATGCTTTTACATATAGTGACTAATTTGAAGATGGTTCTTGTTGTGGAACTGCATGCAGAGCAGCCAAACTTTTCCCGCCTTTCACCTCCTGCTGCCATTTCCATCTTCTCTTTTTCTCTCTGCATTACTCCCATTACTGTTTTCTGCCGATGTGTGATGCTAGAATATGATATATGCTGCTGCTTTTTTGGAGTTTCCATTTTGTTTGAAGTCTGTTATCTGTAATCCTAATAGGTGTGTTAGCCAGGCTTAGCATTGCTTGTTACTGTTCTGGAACAGTGTTTTTTCCCTTGCCCCTACCCCTCTTCCTCTTATCTTGTCTTCTGTCCTGTTTAGGGAACAGACGAGCCCTTGTGGATCAAAAATCTTCAGTCATCAAGCACAGCCCAACAGTGAAGAGAGAATCTCCATCACCTCAGGGACGAAGTAGCAACTCTAGGTAGTGTGTGTATGTATGTATAAAGCGTTGTTGCAAAAGTCTTCACATTCCTGAGTAAAGATGGCCAAATACAGCTGTTGAAAACTATGTAATACTTTCTGTAGCTTTAAACTTGCACAGATAATTATCGAAAAGATTTTTCTATGGATGGTCTTTAAGTTAATAGCACATACGTGTGTTTTCCTGTGCTCCAGAGTATCCTCTTTTGGTCTGAATTCCAAAAATATTCTAGGTTCTGAAAGACCCTGCTTTAACTCAATATTTCACCTTTGTAATTGAATGTGTGCCGAATGAGGGAGCCTAGCCAGTAGCAGTTTAGCAGATCGCACAAGTTCAACTGAGTCCTGTGAAGCAGTTTGATTCTATGAATTCACCAAAAGTGCTTTTCTCAGCTTTGGGAAGAGCAGGACATGGTGCAAGTAAACATTGTCTGACCTGATACCACTACTGTAGAACAGAGTTTGGGTTGTGCGCAATTATGTTAGCAGCATGCCTAGCTAAACTGAGTTTATTTTCTTGTAAACATAGATTCAATATGGATTGCACACAGGACGTGGGCCCTGGCCATATCTCTCTTTCCATGCAAGCCTAGTCAAGCAGAGGGCTAACTTCTGCATGTTTTTTGTTCTTTTTTGTTTTTGCTTTCCTATATGTAACTGTCAGTGAGAACCAGCAATTCCTGAAGGAGGTCGTACACAATGTTCTTGATGGGCAGGGTGTTGGCTGGCTGAACATGAAGAGAGTCCGACGTCTGCTGGAGAGCGAGCAACTCCGCGTCTTTGTCCTGAGCAAACTAAATCGCACCATCCAGTCAGAAGAAGATGCTCGACAGGACATCATACAGGATGTGGTCAGTGCTGAGCTCTTCGGGCTCCTCTTACTTGGTGTATGCCTAGATTCAATTCATGGAAGATCTTAACGACAATGCTTAAAATTATTAACCCTTACAAGCTGATGTTACAACACCGTTTGGAATTTATTTTCTTGAGTGACTTTCTCACTTCTTAAATAGTGATGCTGTTGGTATTTTTCTTGTAGGAGATCAGCCGCAAAGTTTATAAAGGCATGTTGGACTTGCTGAAGTGCACTGTGTTGAGCCTCGAGCAGTCATACGCAAATGCTGGCTTGGGAGGCATGGCCAGTGTTTTTGGCCTGCTAGAGATAGCACACACTCACTATTACAACAAAGGTAAGAAATATGCTCATGAGAATGTAAAGCACTGAGGCAAACCAGATCCTTATTCTGGAGTTAACTGTATTGAGGCTTCTGATATTTCAGGGATTTTACCACACTTGGGAAATATGTAAGAATTGTATCCTTGTTTCTGAAACCTTGCAGAGCTGGGAACGTTTATCTTGCGCACATGCAGCTGACTGAAGCAAAACAATGGCCATACTGACAGTTGCAAATGTAAACTATGTAGCGTGATTAAAAAAGCTTTTACAGATGACAGTTGAAATTCCGTGAGTGGGGACTTTCAGCTGGGACTCACCAATCCACAGTCTTGGAAAGTTATGCCAAGCACCCTGACTAGAGAGGTATTTCTAATGTGAAAGCATGGCAGACTTTAACACTGTACTAACCACCTTGCATTTCACCATAATACTTATATCGCTATAAGGTCTTAGAGAGGAATGTCTGGTTTGGATAACACCTGTTTGTTCTTCCACTTTTTTGTTAAAAATGATTTTAATACAAAATAAAATGGATGCATAAGGGGAAAGGGCAAAAGATAACGTCACCTTTGTGTTAGTTATTTGACTCAACTTTTCATTATATGAGATTACAGCTATTTATTTTACAGTAGCAGAGGGGTAGTATTTATTAAGCACCTTGTAGTTGACAGTCTGGGTGGCTTATTTTAGGGATCTAATGAGTTGATGAGATCAGATGCTCTGTAGCTACTGGTATTCATTTCCAAACATTGTTAGAGTACTAGGGTCTCTCCTAGCTCAGGAGAACTCTGCTGGTGTAGCATTCCTAAATGTGGGGGTAATTATAAGCATTTTAATCTGGTGCTGCAAAATTATGAAATGACTAATGCAAAGCTCAATAGTTTTAGAATGAAGTCATGCTAATATAGTGCCAAACACCATGGTTTGATAGTAAATAAAGCTTGAAGTGAATTAATTGTGGTTGCACTCAACAGAATTTATGGATATAAACTTTTATAGGTTTAATGCATCTTTGAAACACCAACAAGACCACAGATGGTGTAGTGTTGCCATTGCTGACTATCTTGCCTTGTAAAGATGCTGAAAAATTGAGATGGTTTCTGAAAAAATCTTCAAGGAATGGGGAAAAATCTTTCTCCTCTGAAAGATGGCAATGTTCAATCTGTTGAGCATTGATGTTGTTATATATGTATCTATGTGGAAAGGTGGTGCTGTAATCTATGCGACAAAGGTATTACAAGGTCTAGACAAATTTAGACGTTAGGTTGTGAAATTTTGACTGTAAGCACAGTTTGTGCGGAATTGCAGGAGAATCTTTACCAGGAATCTAATTCTAACTCAAATAATCTATTCTAACAGTTTTGCTGCAATGCAAATTGTAACTTGTCGTGTAGAGAAATGATCCAAAATGCTTTTGAAACGATGGAAATGCTATAGCTGGTGTGTGAAATTTCATTCAGTGTTATACAATATAGATGATTGTATTTTCACCAAGAGGGATTGACTTATATTCTAGAATGAATAGTTTCGGTGATTAGGCTATATTCCATAATTTTTGTGTGACTTGCCAGAAGAAACACCACACTTAGTGTGCCAAAGAAGTTTTGCAGGCTTCAATATACAGCAAAAAGAGCTATTTGGGTATCCTATTCCGGCACCTGGGTTTTCTCCTGTTTCCATCAGTGTCTGTCTATCTGCAAGCCATGGTGATCTTTGGGATCAAATGTGGGATTGAGCTATTTCAGTGCCAGGTTTAATGATGCAGGTGAAACTATTTGGCTCATCCCCTCCCCACTGCTTTTACTTCCTGACTGTCCTTTCCTTCTCTTTTTCTTCTTCCTTACATTTTTTATTCCTTTGGCAACACTTTGTTCTTTGCTTTTTAAGAACCAGAGAAAAGAAGAAGAAGTCCAACGGATGGTGCGATCACTCCAGTTGGCAAGGATCCTGCATCAACCCCGAGAGCAGAGCCGAAACCTGTGATGCAGATGCCAGTGTCTCAGCTCATGCCAAAGGCACCAAGTCCTGCAGGGAAAGGGTCAAGGGAGTTTGATACGAGGAGTCTAAAGGAAGAAAATTTTATTGCTTCTATTGGTGTGTACTGAGGTGCATGTGAGGTGCGGGGGGGGCATCTATCTTGGCATTGGGTTCTATTTGCATTTTCTTCATTTTAACACACTACATTGCTGCTGTAACATGCTTCATTACACCTTGGATCACAAGGAATAATTCTGTGTGTCTTCTCTTGCTCTTGGAAAAATACTTTCCAGGGCAGCCTTCTCCCCAAACCATTCTAGTTTTAATTGTTCCTGAATATCATTACTCTTTAGACAACTTTATTTTTTGCTCTGTGGATGTTTTCAAGTAGTAAAAAGTAGCCAAATGGAGCCAGTAGGGCTTTAGAAAGGGCAAGTACGGAAGGGACTGTGTGAAAAAAAGTTCTTATTTCTGATTACTATTGGATTATAGACTGCATATCCTGATAGAAATGACCCAGAACTTGCTAATTGCTAGTAATAAAAAAGAGATTTAATTGCTTATATATATGTGCATATATGCATTTTCTTTGTGGTATCAGTAATTAGGACTGATGGATCTTCCTTCTGTGCCATGGGAAATAGAATGCTTGCCCTTCTGAACAGCATCTACTAAGCTTGTTACTGGAAAACAAAGAAAATGACTGAGGAAAAAAAATGGAGATAAACTTAGACTTTTTTGGTTTACTTTTTTTTTTTTTTTTTAAGCAGGCCAGGCAGGAGCTTTGTAGATGTAGGGGAAAAAGGCAAGATTTACGTTGGATAAAACCTGCATACCAGAGAAATGTGCCATCAGCAGATGGGGAAAATCTTGTATCAGCTCTAAAACCTCATGTTAAGTTTTAGCTATTGCTTCTTATATCCTGTTTAAAAGCACTTTTAGGTGGAATTTAGAAGATTGCTTCTAAAAGCAGTGTGCTACAGTAGGACTTTATATCCAGTATATAGTATGAAAGAGGCAACATGTGCATGGGGTACTAATGTGCAGAAGATTCAGATGTTCTTTGCTGTGCCCATTTATTGCTGCCAATCAAGCCTTTCTGAACTGTTGCTGAAGTCCTCCTGGCTTCACTTTTTTGATTCAAGAGGTTGTGGAGGCAATTGCATAGAAACAAGAAGCTTTTTCCACGGCAAAAAATCCTTGTGAAGCATCACAAGAAGTGCTTTGTGAAAGAAGTACTATTTAATAAGCTCTGTGAAATACTATCGCCAAAATATTAGTCTTAATTTCACAGTGTTCAAGGACAGGCAACAGGAGAGCTTTTATTGGTGGTTCTGATGCTCTGATGTTTTTTTACTTGTCCTCTATAAAAATAAGTTACAAGGCAGATTTGATTTCACTAAAACAGGAGAAGGCCAATTTGAAAGGCTCTCGTGTTTTTTTCTGAAATCTTTTTATCGCTTTCTAACTGCTTTTGCATGTCTTCGATAACCATGAACTCTGCATGTTAGTCTTCAAGAAATTACTATTAAAACAATGTAGCATCCGTGTTTGTCTGACCCCTGGGATCTGTAAGTAAAGGGAATTTCTCCTGCGTTGCAGGAGGATCATTTGAAGCTTCTTGGTATTACTTTTTGATCATTTACAGAAGCTTTCAAAAATGACAGTACCTTGGATATATGAAGTCAGCGTTGCTAGTCATGGCTAGGCTGAAATCTTGTCTGGACTGAAAGGCAGATTCTTCTCTTAGTTAAAGTAACTGTTGTCTTGACAGTTTTAGAGTTTTGTGAAACCTACATTCAGGTTTAATTCTGTGTTTAGATATCTAATTCTGAAAAGTGCTGAGTTAACAGGCAAGTCAGATGAAAGTAGTATAATAGCAGATATTGTAGCCTTTAGACTGGTGTTTTTTGAAGTAAAACCCTATAGACTGAGAACTCAGGAGGCTGGATGTTTTCAAAGCCTTTGTAACAAATTGAGCACATATTCTAAAGGGTTTGTTGTCGTGTGTCAGTGTGTGGTGAGCTAAATGAGCTTAAAGGATGCTGTTTGGATTCGTAGGTGATTTATCCTATCCATCTGTGTGGTTATCAAAGTTGAAGGAATATCCATCAATCACAAAGAAGAAGTAGAAATTGGTTAGCTAGAAGCCATCTTTCTAGTCCTTCTCCCTCTTTATATTTTCCTTGCTCATGATACTTTTAGTGGTAATATTTTGGAGCCTTTGTCCATAACTGTAACACTACCCTTCCGTTTGCAGCAGACCTTTCTTGCAAATAGACTCTTTTTTTTAGAGTCTGTCTTGCTTTATTTTCTGACATTTTTGGGGAGAGAGGGGTTCCCGACACATCTGGTAGTCTTCTAATTGCACAAGTTCCTTAGCAGAGCATTAGGACATTGTGCTTCCTCTTCCCTGTCTTTCCCTTTGCTGCTCTTCTAAAAGTGCCTGTACCTCCGTAGCATTCCCACCCTCAGCCGTGCTGGTGAGGGAGGACAGCGCCCCGCGTTCAGGCGCAGTTCAGCCTACCAGCTTGTAAGGGCGCCTTCGGAACGGCAGGCCAGGTCCTGGAATGCCTGGGTATTTCTGAGCTCGAAGGATGACTGCATTTCAGAGAGCTGAGGGATGTGGATGAGGGAAAAGCATGAGTGGCCCATCATTAATTTGTCTCAGGGCTAAGCTTCAGAGCGTGCCTGCAGGCTCCAGCTTTTTTCCTTCTTCCTCTGTGTTGGAGGCTATTACAGAATCCCTTGACTTGGCTGGAGTCTGTGAACTAATTCAAATTGCGGATGGCGTCATTAAGCATGACTACTACCCCCTTTTTTTTTTCCCTCCCTTTCTTGTCATTCTTACACCCCAATAGGAACAAAGGGATGTTGAGGAGCTCATCTTTTTATGTGAGGCACTGATTGGTAGGCAGGCAAGCATGTTTTGAGAATACTCCTGAGTCAAAAATAGTTTTACTTGTAAACTTTTCTCTGTATTAATTTAAAAAATATTATGTTGGTTATACTTTGTATTAACTTAGAATTCTAACTTTGTTGAAACTTCTGCTGCTGCTTTTCAGCTTTTTCTTTTAATGTTACGAACTAAAGATATGTAAATATTTCTGTTTAATTAGAGCTTCTGTGATGCCTATGTATCAAGGAGTAAATATCTGGCAATCTTAAAGTCCCTTCTCAGGAAGGAGATGAATTGCAATGTTGTGTTCATAATAGCTGTTTTTGCTTAGTTGGTTCACTGCATGAAGTCATTTCTAACATTTTAATTTTGTAAATGGAAGAAAATGCAGTGCACTGTTCCTAACGTTGAAATCTTGCAAAACGATGTTAAATAACCCTTCACTTGGTAGTTGTCATAAATTTCTGCTTTTTTTGGAGATGAAGGGGTGGGTTTTTGTTTGAACTTTTTTTTT